TAACTTTTTTTCTCTCTTTTTTAAAATTTTATTTTATTTTATTTTTATACAGCAGGTTCTTATTAGTCATCAATTTTATACACATCAGTGTATACATGTCAATCCCAATTGCCCGATTCGTCACACCACCCCCACCCCCTGCAGCTTTCTCCGCTTGGTGTCCATACGTTTGTTCTCTACATCTATGTCTCAATTTCTGCCCTGCAAACCGGTTCATCTGTACCATTTTTCTGAACCTAACTTTTTACAAATACACAAGGAAAGTTTTGCACAGCTTTAATACACCTGAATTTCCCAGAAACTCAACTACTGCGTAAAACTGGAGAAAACAGTACTTTCTTTTGTTTAGAACTTTCCAAAGAGTTGTTCACCAATTCAGAAAAATCATGTTCTTGACTCTTGGGTGTTAGTCACAAATGCAGCACACCAGTCTGGCTGTATAATCATGGCTATCCTGCTCTTGATGATTTTACTACATACATGCAAGTATCTGATTACCTCATTATGTGAAAGAATGAGCATTTACACTGAAATACAGAATCTTTTGTATTTTATTCCCTTATATTTTATAGTGATTTTGATATTAGGTTTGTAAACAGCCACTATTCCCTGTAAACTTTTATTTCAGGATAGTAAAGGGGTGTTTAAAATATTGGTTATATACCACACGACCCAGCAATCCCACTACTGGGCATATACCCTGAGTAAACCATAATTCAAAAAGAGTCATGTACCACAGTGTTCATTGCAGCTCTATTTACAATAGCCAGGACATGGAAGCAACCTAAGTGTCCATCGACAGGATGAATGGATAAAGAAGATGTGACACATATATACAATGGAATATTACTCAGCCATAGAAAGGAACGAAACTGGGTCATTTGTAGAGACATGGATGGATCCAGAGACTGTCATACAGATTGAAGTAAGTCAGAAAGAGAAAAACAAATACCATATGCTAACACATATTTATGGAATCTAAAAAAAAAAGGGTCATGAAGAATTTAGGGGCAGGACAGGATTAAAGACGCAGACGTAGAGAATGGACTTGAGGACACGGGGAGGGGGAAGGGTAATCTGGGACGAAGTGAGAGAGTGGCATGGACATCTATACACTACCAAATGTAAAACTGATAGCTAGTGGGAAGCAGCCACATAGCAGAGCTCGGTGCTTTGTGACCACCTAGAGGGGTGGGACAGGGAGGGTCGGAGGGAGGGAGATGCAAGAGGGAAGAGATATGGGGATATATATATATATATATATATAGCTGATTCATTTAGTGAATAAAAAAGAAACACACCATTTTAAAGAAAATATACTCCAATAAAGATATTAAAAAAAAAGTGTTTTCACCAAAATCTTAATATAGTTTGTCTATGGGGAATAAACAATAAAAATGTTCCTGGTTTGTAATCATAAAAAAAAAAAACAACCAGAATGAAGCCATTTATTTCCAATACATTAAAAGCTATTTGTGTATCCTTTCTTTTTAGTCTTTTTGTAGCTTGTGTCTGTTTCTAATAACCTATGCCTGTTAGGCTATTTTATTTAAAATTATACTATCTTTTGGAATTCCATTAAAATGAGTACATTTCTCCCCATTGCAAAAAAAAAATATTGGTTATAAAAGGACTGTTGTGCAGTATAGTGCTGAGGCCACTGTCTAGTGTGAAAACCTGAGCTTGAGAAAGTGTGGTGCTGTGTTTGAGCACAGTTTCTTGGCCAAGTTTTGTTATTAGGATTACAGTACCTTCATAAAATGAGTTTTTAGATTTTTTGTGTGAAATAGTCTCTATAGCATGGGAATTTTCTGTTCTTTAAAAGTTTGAAAAAAAATTATTTACAAAATTGTCCCCCCTCCCCATATTCTTTTTGGTGTTATTCCTTGAGTAGTTTTTTCTTATTGGATAATTCAGATTCTCTACTAAAAAAAGAAATTTATAAAAATCAATGTATATTTTCAAGAAAATTAACTGTTTATCTTGAGATTTTCAAATTAATATTGTGCACACTATATTCTCTTATAATTCTTGTTCTCTAGATCTGTTGTGATATCCTTGTTCTATTTTCTTTATTCATTTTATTCCTTTTTCTTGCTTGAGGAGGTTTGGCTGTGGTGCCAGTCATTTGCCTGTTTGTCCTCAGATCCATCCCGGGCCCGTACCCTGCTTGCTGCATTTCCCAGGCTCCCTTGCTGACAAGCTCCTGCCAGGTTTGGTCCATGGCACAGGCAGGATGTTGGAGGGTGGAAGGAGAGAAGCCTGGGGACTTCTTTCTCTGTACTTCCTGTAGTCTAGCTGTTTGCAGTCTCAGATCCTGCCCCGGCCCCAGCCACAGCCAGGCAAGATCACTGTGCTCAGTTCCCACTGGGAGGCCCCATTCCTGGGCTCTGGGCAACACACCCACCACCTCCTTTAGGGCCTCACCTTCCCTTGCATCCTCTTTCAGATTCCACATAATGAAATTCCCTCCACTGAATTATCTGGTGTGGATTCAGTCTTCCTGGCTGGACCATGACTGACTGATGTATCAGTATTTTTCAGAAAAGTAGCTTTTCTTCTTTTAACGTTTTTTTTTTTTTTTTTTTAATTTGGCTGCGTTGGGTCTTCGTTGCTGCCCATGGGCTTTCTCTAGTTGTGGTGAGCGGGGGCTACTCTTCGTTGCTGCTTGTGGGCTTCTCATTGCGGTGGCTTCTCTTGTTGCAGAGCACGGGCTCTAGAACGTGGGCTTCAGTAGTTGTGGCTCATGGGCTTAGTTGCTTCATGTGGGATCTTCCCGGACTAGGGCATCCCCTGCATCGGCAGGCGGATTCTTAACCACTGCGCCACCAGCGAAGTCCCTAGAAAAGCAGCTTTTAAATTCATGTATCAATTCTACTATTTTCTAAATTATTCATCTCTTTTACTTGGTGAAATAATATAGTTTAGCCAGTGCTATGCTGGTAATCCAACTCTCTTGAAAAAAAAAAAATCCCTGATTTGTCATATAGGTTTCCTCTTCTATCTGAAAGCAGAGCGTTCCTGTGAAGCTTAAGCCGAAATGGCGCACAGCAAAGAAGAAATTACCTTTTTCTGGAAATTAATCTATAGAATCAGTTCTCATGGGGCGATGGAGGGGAAGAAAAGGATTAGAAGGAAGACTCCAGACGATGGTAAGAAGGATCACATCTTGAGTCTGAAATTGTTTAATTACATCTCTCCAAAATGTAATGCTCGGGCTCCCTGGTGGCGCAGTGGTTGAGAGTCCGCCTGCCGATGCAGGAGACACGGGTTCATCCCCCGGTCCGGGAAGATCCCACATGCTGTGGAGCGGCTGGGCCCGTGAGCCATGGCCGCTGAGCCTGCGCGTCCGGAGCCTGTGCTCCGCAACGGGAGAGGCCACAACAGTGAGAGGCCCGCATATAGGAAAAAAAAAAAAAAAAAGTAATGCTCATTCATTACATTTGTTAAATTAATTTAAAAACATCATTTCATTGGAAAAATTATTAGGCTTTTCTTACTTCAAAATAATTCCTAAATGCTATGGGTCAAATTATACCCCCTCCCACCCCCATAACCCGCAATGTAACTGTATTTGGAGATAGAGCTTTTAAGAGGTAATTAAGGTTAAGTGATGTCATAAGGGTGAGGCTCTAATCTGAAAGGACTGGTGTCATAAGAAGAGGAACAGAGACCAGGGCTTTCTCTGCAGGAGCACAGAGAAGAGGTCATGTGAGCACACAGCAAGACGGTGGCCACCTACAAGCCAAGAGAAGAGGCCTCAGGATGAAACCCACCTAGCCAGCGCCTTGATATTGGACTTCCTAGCCTCCAGAACTGTGAGAAGTAAATCTCTGTTGTTTAAGACCCCAGTCTGTGGCATTTTGTTAGAGGAGCCCAGCTGAAGAATACACCAAGCAGGCCCAACTGAGAGCCAAAAAACCAGAGCCCACAATAGTCAGTTTGTTTGGGGTGATGAAAAGTTTTGGAAATAAATAGTGGTGCTGGTCATGCAACACTGTGAATGTAATTAATGCCACTGAGTTGTACACTTAAAAATGGGGAAAATGGCAAATTGTTAGATATATTTTACCATAATCTTTAAAAACTAATAAAGTAGTATACCAAAACCCATTAAATTGTACATTTTAAATGGTTGAATTGTATGGTATGTGAATTATATCTCAATAAAGCTACTTTTAAAACAAATCAGAGCCCAAACTGACTAGTAATCACATAATTTCAACAAGAAAATTGCTGAAAATCCTTTAACAAATGTGACAGTGAGGAATCACATGCAGGTACACTTTCGTATTTGCTACGGGTCACCAAAAAGAAATGTCCTTTGGGCCTACTCCCCTGGGGGGCAGGGGTTGGAAAGCATCACCCTGGTGAAGGCCTTGTTCCAGTGAGAACCGCCCAAGAGGAGGGTGGCCAGTCTCTGCCTGAATGCCAGCTGCAGGTGGTACTGATGAGAATGCCTAGCTCCCCACCCTGGCTGTTACCACCTTTAAAAACAGCTGCCCCCAAAGAACGAAGCTGCTCCTCTGTACCTTCTGAATTGTGTACCATGTAACCTCTAACAGCTGTTCAAGGCAAAAATGTTTTAAAATTTGGCAATTTAGTAGATAAAAATGGCATAACCTTATTTTAATTGCTATTTCCTTAATTGCTACTGGGGTTGACTTTTTTCATGATTGTCTGTCACTATACATTTTCACTTCTGTAGAAAAGTTCACAGAGCCTGTTTACATTCGTTGGCTCTTCAGATTCCATGATGTTGTGAATGCAGACGGGGTAAAATGCTGCCATTTTACACTTGGGGGAAATGGGGCTCCCAGATCTAAGAGTAGCTACCAAATCTTTATCGTGCCATGAATCCTACCAGTTATTATTATTATTATTTATTTGGTTGTGCTGGGTCTTAGTTGCAGCAGGTGGGCTCCTTAGTTGTGGCTCGCAGGAGCCTTAGTTGCAGCACATGGGCTCCTTAGTTGCGGCAGGCGGGCTCCTTAGTTGTGGCATGCGAACTCTTAGTTGCAGCATGCATGTGGAATCTAGTTCCCTGACCAGGGGTCGAACCCGGGCCCCCTGCATTGGGAGCGTGGAGTCTTAACCACTGTGCCACCAGGGAAGTCCCCTTACCAGTTAGTTTTAAATATGTTACTTCTAACTTTCCCAGCAGTCCTGCCCGGTAGTTATTACCAGTCTCACTCTACAAATAAAGAAACTGGGACTGAGAGGCTGGTTAACTTGCCCACGGCCACTCAGCTGGTAACAGGGCTCTGTGGTCGCTTGAATCTTGAATCAATATCCTTGCTACACAGCAGCTTCCTAGGGCCTGGGCGGAAAGATGCTGGAGTCAGCGGGCAGCATGGAGGTCCACCCAGTCCCATACGTGCAGAGAGGCATCACTTGCTGCGGACAACAAAGTCCGCGGTTTGCAGGGGTGCCAGGTGTGGGTGGTGACCAGTGGAGCAGTGTCCATCCCATTGCCGTCTAGGAAGATGTGACCTTTGTGAGTGAAGAGAGGTTCTACTTGGCGCCCCATTCCACCCCAAGACGTGACGTCATAGACCTGGACCGTCGCATCAAAACCTGAGGAAGAACAAGAAAAGCGAGCATTGACGCTGAATCTCTGAATGCTCTACGGAACCAAAACAGGCTAGAGGATGATGAATCAAATAGCCACGAGATACTTAAATTCCAAGGGAATTCCTTGGCGGTCCAGTGGTTTGGACTCTGCGCTTTCACTGCTGAGGGCACGGGTTCTATCCCTGGTCGGGGAACTAAGATCCCACAAGCTGCGCAGTGCAGCCAAAAAAATAAATAAATAAAATTAAAGGCCAACTGAAGGGCATGTAACATCTGCCGTCAGTGACCCCAAGGAGCACACAACGATAAGCATCTGTGGTGCATCTGTCACGTGCCAGGCCCGAGGCTAATCTTGCATTCTCTCCTTTAACCCTCACAACTGTATGAAGTAGGTACTATTATTTTCCTCAAGAAACGGAGGCTTTAGAGACTTTTCAAACCTCTTCCACTTGCCCCCAACTCTAATCCCTCCACATGTGAGTCCCTCTCAGCAGAGGGCCTTGTCTCCTACTTGATGGGGGAAAGAGAAGCCTTTAGAGAGAACTACCCAAGCCTGGTTCTGCTCTTCTGCTCTTTCTGGATCCTGCCATGACCAATGACCCTCTCCTGCTCTCTCAACTATTCTTTCAACCTCTCGCCCCCGTCAGAGGACCCTTCCATCGGCTTTCAGATACCTCATTACACACCCTCATTCAACTAGATACTGCCGGGCCAGACCCAGGAGCCTGCTGACCTAGCTAGCTTGCTGTAGTTCTAAAAGCGAGTAGACTGAGCGGCACCGCTGAGACCCTATCGCCTCTCCCTGGTGCAGCCCGTGGCTGTCCTAGTGTCTTACCATCCGCAGCCTCTCCACCAACCTCAGAACTGAATTCCTGCTGCGACAGGAAAGGCCTGCTACCAACATGGGGAAGTCTGGTAGCCAGGATGTGGAAGGGCCACCACTAAAGAACCTGGAGAGCTAATATGGAGCTTTTCTGTGAGCAACCTTAACTTCTGGGGCCAGATTTACTACAGAACTACGGGCTCCTTCCTGAGCACCCAAGAGTCCCCGGAAGAGAGAGATCAAGTGACAGACACAAAATCCTCTCAGCGTACCTGAAATGGCCAAGCAGTTGTCCAGGCCTGGAGCCCAAGTCACTCGCAGCAGCTCTGGGTCAGGGCTAGGCATGGACACTGGGCACTGGACCAAGCTCACCGGCTGGCAGAGATCCCGGGGGTCAAGAAGACAGAGCTGCCCGTCTGAGCCAAGGCTGGCAATGCTGGGCCCAGGGCCCCTGCCCCCAGCTTCTGCACACCACCTCCCTCCAGCGGACCCAGAGCTGGGCCTGAGGTTCTCTGACGGGGTCCACTTCTGGCGGGTGTCGACAAGCCCCAGGTGGCCCGAGGTGCAGCAGAAGGCAAAGGTGTCTGCGTCCAGGACCTGCAGGCTACTCAGCAACTCGTCGTCACTGACACCTGGACGGCGGGGCGAGAAAAGTGGCTGCAGTCAAATGGGTCCAGTGGCTTGGCACCGTTGGCTGGTCCAAGCCCCTTCCTCTGGGCAGCTCCCCACCAGCCCCCGGCCGAGCGAACCACATCCCGCCGCCTTCTCATCTCACACGGTCTGCCCGGCTGGTTGGGTGCCGGTCCCGGGACTGCCTTCCCCAGCCCCAGAACAGGGGCCCCCGAGGCCTGGCCCTGCCTCTCACTCATCTCGTTTCCCCAGCAGCTGGCACACAGGGTTGGATTCGGTTTCCAGCGTGGCTGGGTGGGGCTGGGAGGAGCCGGCAAGGGGCTGCGGTACCTGAGCTGTAGGTGGTCTTCTGTGATTCCAGATCCACCACCTTCAGACTGCTAAGCCTGGCCCCGTGGAGGACTCCGGGCGCCGCCGACGAGAAGATGGCCACCCTGGGCCAGAGACGCCCCTCCTCGCGCACGTCAATGGTGCTGACAGCCTTAATGACATCTGGGGGAAGATGGAAGTGGCTGAAGTCCAGGACGTTAATGCAGGTTTGAAACATTCCATGGTGAAGGCCTGCCAGAAGGTCAGGGGAGACAGGGCCTCACGGCTGGTGAGAGAGGATGTGGAGACATCATCACTGTGCGTTGTGTTCACTTTTTGGAAACTGTCAGAAGCACTGTAGTTTCTCTATAATTTGTCTTTTGAACTGTTTTGCAAATGGGAGATAATGAATCACAGCAGCCATCTCAAAACCTCCCCAGCAGTTCTGGCTTTTTATAGTTTTGCGGAGAACAAATAAAGGAAGAGAAAAGGAAAGAACACGCCGATGATGTTATTTACACCTTAACTGAAAATAACAGGAATGGAGTTCATGAAGTAATATTATTTCTTCAAAAACATGTCCCATGACCTCAAGCAATTGGCCGAATCCTAACAGGTCAAGGTTATAACACAGACGTCTTTGTCTTCAAACATAAACAGGGCAAGAAAGTCCACATCTTTTTTACACTGAACGTTAAAAAGACATACTTGCCCTCAGGTTAAATCAAATTTTAGCTTTGTTCACCTCAGTCTGCATCGACAGCAGACAGGTTCCCATCTCTGCATTCTCCATTTATAACATAGTTCAGAACAAGTAGTTTGCTGTACAAACTACTTAAAAGGAGATAGATGCATATTTTCCATTTTATATTTTCTTGCTCCCATAGGGAGCTCACTGTTTGGTTTCACATTCTCTGAAGAAAATGAAGATCTATGTATTTTTAAATTCTAGAGGATAGGTAAGAGGATGAGGAAGGGATGGATGAGAGAAGGAACACTAATGCGGCTTATCAAGCGAGCACGTGGCAGTCAGTTCCCTGGAGACAGTTCACATACAGGGAGTCACAGAAGGTGCGGCCAGGCTGGGCTAGGATGCAGAGGCCCCTTGGGTCCTGCTCCCCAAGCCACAGACTCTCAGTGCACTTTGTCTAGACTTGCTGAACATAACTGCTCTACCCTAGGAGCCGCGGAGGTCGGAGCAGACACAACAGCTGAGCCTCAGGACCGTGTGTCTCCGGGGAGTGCCAGTGAGGCTGTGATTCAAACCAGCCCAGCACAGCTTGCCTCACTCCCCTGGGCCCCACTTAAACGGCTCCCTTTTCCCTTTCCAAAGACTGAGGAGCCTGGAACAGATTCCCCAGGACCTGCTGCTCTGAGCCAGGGCTGGTTCTCAGGTGTGATTTGTCCCCTGACGGCGGGAAGGAGGAGGTCAAGGGACAGCCTGCAAAGGCCTATTTCAAAGATGCCGTAGAAAACAAAGGCTTCAGAGCTCCTGACTGGAGAGTTGTGCTCCATAGTTACAACAGGAAAGCAATGCAGGTTCCTCCTCATCCCCTCTCTTGTCAGTGTTAAAATGCCCCCTTTAGGAAATCCACACCAACTAGCCAAATGAAAAGAAAAACTACTACAAAATCAAAGCAAAAGATGCAGTAAGGCACCTCCAAGAACTGGGCAATAAAAGAAAGAAGGCTGTCTGAAGATTAAACCAACAGAACGGGTCGGAGCTGCAGTGGGCACACTCCTTAAGGAGTCAGAATGGCTCCACACCTGCAGTACGGAGCTAACGTATTACCACGTCTAAAGGAAAAGTGGTGGCCATGAGAGGGGGCTGTTCTGCCACAACGGCAAAGAAAATGCTGGGGCCCGTCCACGGCAGAGAGAGCCACTCGAGGCTGAAGTTAACTTCAAAGCAGAGGCTGCGGGAGACATTCAGCTGAGGCTGTTAGGTATGTCTCCACCTAAAGACCTTCTCAGGGGACTCCTCAGCCCCAGAGCCGAGAGGAGAGGCCACAGGCCCCCCTCCAGGGGCCTGGAGAGCCAAGCCGTCACAAGTCCTATACCCTCTGCCTAGGAGAGCTTATGAAAACACCACCTGGAAGCCTCGGAGCTGATTCCTCTTGTTATGGTTATGTTTACCATGCAGGCTTTGACTAGGTTAGGTCTTCTATAGGAAAAGAATAAGGATCTGGAATATTCCACTTTTAGGGACACTTATTTTTTCATTATAAACTAATAAATCTGCGTTCTGGTTTACACAGCAGTCCTGTGAGTCTGGTGAGCGCGTCTGCCCCTAATAACAGATTAGATTTGTTGTGGGTGTGCTGACAGAATCAGGTTTCTGAGATACCAAAGCTGTGGGTCAAACCTGGACCTTGGAAAATTCACCAAGATATGCTACATTTTTAGGTGTCTAGGAAAACAGCTGGCCAGCCTTCCCCAGATTCTGGAATATTCTGCACTAATATCCAGGGGAAGGTAACTATCTGATTTCCTACTCTCATATGAGTGTCAGAGCAAGTCTCCTTGGGCCTAGCTCTCCTGGGCCTGGGGCTACAGGTTCTATATGGCACCTGGTACCCCAGGCACCGTCAGGACAAAAGAGCTCCAAGGCGCCCTCCTCATCTTTAAACCACTGCTGCCCCACACAGCCTATTTTTAGGGAAAGATAAAAAACAACTATAAGTTACTGACATAAGGATAGACATAGAGATCACTGGAACCGAACGGAGAGTCCAGAAATAAATCCTTATATTCACAATCAAATGATTTTCACCAAAAGGCACCAAGGCAGGTCAGTGGAGAAAGGCCAGGCTTTTTGACAAAGGGTACTGGGACAATCAGACATTCATATGCAAAAAGATGAACTTAGACCCCTCCCTCATACCTACCATACACAAAAGTTAACTCTAAAGAGATCACAGACTTAAATGTCAGAGCTAAAACAATAAAACTTTTGGAAAAAAAAAAACATTGGGGAAGATCTATGGATTAAGTAAAGATTTCTTAGATATGACACTGTTTTATTATTAAAACGGACCTCATCAAAATTTAAAACTTTTATGCTTCAAAGGACACTATTAAGAAAATGAAAAGACAGGGAGAAAATATTAGCAAAACATATATCTGATAAATAACATGTATCTAGAATGTACAAAGAACTCTCACAAGTCAATAAAGACAAAACAGCCAATCAAAAAGTGGGCAAAATATTTGATAAAATATAAGCACCAAGAAAGCAAGGAACATCTATGTGAGTGCTTGCTGTTATATCCCCAGAACCTTGCCCAATGCTTGACACACCGGAAGCACACAATGAATAACGACTAAATGATGAAATGTTAGCTACTGCTACAAATAACAGTAATAATAATAATAATATTATTATTATTATGTGCCCTTTCATAAGTAGATCTTACTTCCAGGAACCAGATCTAAGCAAAATGGTGGCACAGACTATGTTGCCAGTCAGTAAATACCCTATGACCTTTTCTTTCAGAGCCCTTACATACTATACTGAGATCAATTATTATTATCTAACTATAGTTACCACCAGGCAGAGTTATAAGCAGACTCTGAAGTCAGACTACATTTAAGTCTTGGTTCTGCGACCATCTTTGTGACTCTGAACAAGTTAGACTCTCTGGGAAAGAGTCTGTTCTCCTACTTATGAGAATTTAATGAGATCACACATGGAAAGTGATCAGTACAGCGACTGGAATATAATATACACTCATTAATATTACTGTTACATCTCATAGATTGTTAACTAATCCGAACAAGTATCTATTAAAATGTACAGTGAAACTGGCATATCAAAGGGCCTGTGACAGCATGTTATCTCAGCCTGCTAGGGGGGAAAAAAAGTAACAACAAAACACCCTTAGGAAGATTTGAATAGGCATTTTACCAAAGATACATGAATGGCTAATAAGCATATAAAAAGATGCTCAACATTATTAGTCATTAAGGAACTGCAAATGAAAGCCACATGATATACAATTTCACATCCATTAGGACTGCTTTAATAAAAAAGACAGATAATAACAAATGTTGGTGAGGACATGGAGAAACAGGAACCCGCATACACTGCTGGTGGGAATGTAAATGATGAAGCCATTCTGGAAAAGAGTTTGGGAGTTTCTTAAAAAATCAAACAAACAAAAAACAAAAAAAAATCAAACATGAGTTTACCACATGATCCAGCAATTTTATTCCTAATGTCTATCCAAGACATATGAAGACATAGGTCCACAGAGACTTGTACATGAATGTTCTTAGCAGCATTATTCCTAATAACCAAAAATCAGATCCATCAACTGGTGAACAGATAGACAAATGTGATACATCCATAAATGGAATACTGTTCAGCCATAAAAAGGAACAAACTGCTGATACACGTTATGACATTGTATGACATGGTGGACCTCAAAAGTACTATGCTCAGTGAACGAAGCCAGATACAAGAGACCACATGTTGTATGATTCCATTGATATGAAATATCCAGAAAAGGCAAATCTATCATAGAGACAGAAAGCAGATTAGTGGTCGCCTGGGGCAGGGTGTGGGCATGGGGGTTAATCGTAATTGGCATGATGGATCTTACTGGGGTCATGAAAATATCCTAAAAGTGATCATAGTTGCACAACTTGTTAAATTTACTAAAAAGAAAAAAACCACTGAACTGTATACTTAAAATGGGTGACTTTCAATAAAATTATGAAAAAATAAACAATCATAACTACAAATAAGTATATACACACACCTGGAAGCTACAGCATAAGACAAGTGACAAGGAAGAACCAACAAAGGAAAGTCCACAGGGTCAGTGACCTCAAAAACCAAATGAGGACCAGAACCACCTTCCTGCAGCAGTGAAGCTTGGGGAGAAGCCAACAGCTGCTATCGGTTTCTGGGAAGCATCCAAGTGAGGCAGAGGACCACACAAGCCAAGGGGCAGTTCCAAGAGCGGCTGCCTTTGTCTCTGAGGCCCGCTTCCATGCTGGTCAGCAATGCTCTAACCCAAGGAGGGATGGCAGGGGCTGGATCAGGGCTGCAGGCTTCGGTGCCTGCCTGACAGAGGAATCGCAAACCTCCTGCTGGAGGGGATACTATGAGGGAACTCCCCCGACTCCCAGAGGAACAGGACTAACGCTTCCTGCGCCTTTCCCAACTTTCCTGTTCCTGTTGGGCAGCAGAGCTAGGTCTCTGAGTCGGAGACTGGTCAGCCCAGCCTTGTGCTCACTCACTGTTTTCCCTCCCTGAGAGCAGCATGCCTGCAGTGAGAGGTGACCTCCCTGCTGCCTTCGCTCTGCCCCTGCCTGGGGTGGGAGGGGCCCGAAGTTCACCAGGTGCTCTGCCTCTGGCTGGGCTGGTAAACTCAATTCCTGAAGCAAGCTATAGGAAGCTCCACCTGGGGCTTGTGTGCACTGCTGTGGCTGCTAATTCACCTTTGCTGCATTAAAGTAGATACTGCATTAAAAAAAAATTTTTTTGGCCACACCATGTGGCATGTGGGATCTTAGCTCCCCGACCAGGGACTGAACCCGTGCCCCCTGCAGTGGAAGCACAGAGTCTTAACCACTGGACAGCCAGAGAAGTCCCAGTAGATACTGCATTTTAATTCCCACTGGCTCTGAGTCTGTTTCTTAACTGGCTCAGATTAGGGATTGGGGGTGTGAGAATAACAGGCTTTCCTACAAACCCAACCCCACCGAGTCAAAGTCACTTACCGCTGTCCTCCGCAACCTGCCACACCTGCAGGTAACAACCGGGAAGGCCACTGGTCACCAGCAACCTATTCAGGATGGATAAGAAATCTCAGCCCAGACAGTGGGGAGCTCACCCACACAGCCCTCAGCCTCTCCCTCTCCAGCCCACTCAGCTTGGGATTCCTACACTCCCTGTATCAGGAGAGCTTACGCAGGGAGGGGTCATCAAGATCAGTCATCCTCATTTAACAGAGGAGTAGCAGGCTTGTTCCCCTTTAGGGACAGGTCCACAGCTCACAGAGAGTCGTGGGACTGAGCCCTGGCTTCCACGTGGCATGACGTGTGCTAGAGGACCCAGCAGGGAGTCTGAACACAGAAGCCTCACCCAGAGGCTCTGGCCTCTGCCAACTGAGCTATTAGCACCAACTACCCACCACCAGCTCTCTGAGAAGCTAAGAGCATCCCTTCTACTTTATATCTATTCCCTAGAGCAACGCCAGCAATCTGTGGGTTACCATAGTCAAGAGGTCTTGTGAGGGACCGTAAAGCCACCGAGCACTGGTTTCTTTGTATTCCAGATCAGTGTGTGCACATGCCCTCCCATGTGCCCCTGTGCTGAGGTGGGATGGGGAGGGGTGGTGATAAAGATACAGGATACCCCTAAAGTTCCAGCCACTCCATCCTGAATGGAAGGCCTGGGTCACAGAGCTGACCATACCTGGTGTCTGGCACATACTTCAGATCAAAGACAGACCTGTCTGAAAATCCTCCATGGCGTACCTTGAAATCTCTTTCAGGGAATAAGCCCTAAAATACAAAGGGGTGGCCAGTCAGATAGGGGACCACTCTCCAAAGGAACGTTTCAGACAAGTTCTAGGTAAGGAGCCATAGCCCAGCCTGGCAGGAAGCCACGGAAGCCGCTCAGGTGGCAGTGATGCTTCTCTGGGCAGGGCCTCAGGGTGCTGTTATTTGCAAATGTTGGTCTCAGCTGCTTACACAGATAGCTTCCTTTCTTTCCTGCACATCCAAAACCTTTCTTCTAACCTTTCACCACAGCACAAGTGTTATATTCCAAGCTGCCTTAGAGGAGTCACAGAGGCTTAACAGAGAAAGGTGGAATGTATCAGCCAACTAACACAGCCCCATTCCTCCCCACACCTCGCACTGGAAGTTAGGTGGGTTCTTCCAGCAATAAAAATACAACTGCCAGGACTTCCCTGGTGGTTCAGTGGTTAAGAATCCGCCTGCTAGTGGTTAAGAATCCGCCTGCCAATGTAGGGGACATGGGTTCGAGCCCTGGTCCGGGAAGATTGCACATGCCGCGGAGCAACTAAGCCTGTGCACCACAACTACTGAGCCTGTGCTCTAGAGCCTGCAAGCCACAACTACTGAGCCTGCACGCCACAACTACTGAAGCCCGCATTCTAGAGCCCGTGCTCCGCAACAAGAGAAGCCACCGCAATAAGAAGCCCACAAGCAGCAATGAAGAGTAGCCCCCACTCACCACAACTAGAGAAAGCCTGTGCAGCACCAAAGACCCAATGTGGCCAAATAAATAAATAAAATAAATAAACTAATTAATTAAAAAAATACAACTGCCAATTATCCAGTGCTCACTGTGTCAGCCACCCTGTTTAGTGCTTTACTTTATCACGTTGAATTCTTACAACCGCCCTGTGACCTGGGCAGTATAATTATCCCTGTTCTAAAATGACAAAGCCAAGGCATAGGGAGCTTAAGCAACTTTTCTAAGGTCACAGGGGTTACGTTATACATCTGAACCCAAGTCTGTCTAACCGAAGTCCATGCTCTTAGCCACTAGACTCTACTATCTCCACGTGAGGAACCAGAGGCAGGGGAAGAGGAGGTGGCCACAAGAGAACAGAGGGAAAGCCAGGGGTGAGGCGGGAGGTAAATCAGGTCTCTCATCAAGGCTCAATTTTGGTGAGCTCCTGACTCAGCTTGAGGGGTAGGGACGAGGAAGATCAAGAACATTAGGAAGGAAATTTACCCAAGGGCAATAAAGGCAGGACTGATCTAGCCAATGAGCCTGAGTGATTTTATAGTAACATTAGGCAGCTATCAACTCTTCGTGACACATTCTTATCTCTTGGCTTCTGGATCACTGGCCTTTTCTGAGACTCCTCCTACTTCAAAGACTATTCTTTCTCAGTACTCCTTGTGGGTTCATCATCTTCCTCTACCCATTTCTTTTTTTTTTTTCTGTTTTTTTGTGGTTTTTTTTTGCAGTACGCGGGCCTCTCACTGTTGTGGCCTCTCCCATTGCGGAACACAGGCTCCGGACGCGCAGGCTCAGCGGCCATGGCTCATGGGCCCAGCCGCTCCGCGGCATGTGGGATCTTCCTGGATCGGGGCACGAACCCGTGTCCCCTGCATTGGCAGGCGGACTCTCAACCACTGCACCACCAGGGAAGTCCCTTTCTACCCATTTCTTAAGTGTTCTCCCTGAGGTTCTGTCTTTAGCCATCTTCTCCTCTTATTCTTTATATACTACACATTCATCCTAGGTGATCTTAACCATTCTAAGGTTTCAACCACCCTTCATACTCTAATTGCTCCCTAAATTTTTTTTTTTTCCGGCCGTGTGGCACGGCTTATGGGATCTTGGTTCCCCGACCAGGGATCGAACCCGGGCCCCCTGCAGTGGAAGTGTGACGTCTTAACCACTGGACCACCAGGGAATTCCCCCTAAATCTATTCTTGATAAAGTATAATTGACTTCTTGCTCTAGGAGCCCTCTGTAAATCACAGGACTTTCTGTACAACTTACCTCTGTGCACATTTGCCTCCCTTTATTAGACTATAAGGGCAGGCCCAGGGCTTACAGTTTCTCTCTTTCTAGTATCCAGGACAATATTTAGTAGACAACAGGAGCTCCATAAAGATTTAATAAATGAGTAGAAGTAGACACATATACTCAGCATAAATATTTCAAGTTACCTGGTTTTCTTTTACAGAAAGTCTGAGAGGTAATATCAGATGAAGAATCTCATTTTTTTTCAGGCTTTCATAGCCAGCAACCAAGATTCCTGGAAAAAGAAGCAGAATAAGCTGTGACAAAGTGCTAGAAAGATTCTGGACCACAGCTGGGTCCAGACACTCTGCCAAATCTCCCAAAGCAAAGATAAACTCTTCTGCCATTGGTATGCAGCCTTGTACTGAGGGATGGAAGAGATCTAGATCTTCATAAGAGAAATATAATGCTGATGGGGCATGAAATTGCTACAAGTGACCAAGAGGCCCTCAAGCTCCCAGAAGAGGGGTTGGGTCCCTCTGGGCTGAGCTCCTGAGTTCCAGCTTAAGGAGTGGTTCTTCAGGGCCAGGCAGGGCATATCACCTTTGTCACCAATCCATTCAAGGACTCGAGTGGCTCCCGAGAGGTCGAATGCATGGAAATCCTGGTACCTGCATGATAGGGACACAACATCACACGATGCATGGCACTTTACAGCTGTTAAAGAACCTGAGATGTTAGCATGGTTCGGCAGTTGGGGGCCCAGGCTCTGGAATCAGGCAGAACTGGGATCAAGCCTTGTTACACATTTCATCCCCTGTGTGACTGGGGGCAGGCCAGTCACAGTTTCCCTGAGTCTCGTCCTCATCTGTAAAATGGAACTCCTAGAGTACTCAGACTTCCCAAGGTTGACGTGAGGAATCGAGATAATCTTTGTTTAAGGTTTAACCCAGAGCCAGGCGCAAAATAAATAGTCACTTATGTTATTATTATCCTCCACAAGCACTGCCCCTACTAGTACTTCACACAATTTGCGCACACAGGAAGGTGCCATTTCCCAGCTGCGGGTGCCGAGGCCCAGGCGGAGTCCTCCGTACAGGTCCCGCCCCACATGCCGCGGGTTCCCTGCGTGCTCCATGCCGCGCCCGTCCGCCCCCAGGCCAGCTCCAGACCCGGATTCCACGTCCCAAGCCCACACGATTTACAAGCGCAAGGATTCCACCAGCCAGTCCTCAGCGGGCTCCATGGCAACTGTCGCTTCCGGTACCCCACTTCCGCCTCTGAACCTTCCTGGGCAAGCGCGGCCCTCTCGCGAGGAGTGGGGCGCGGCCTGGTTTGACCCGGGGGCGGGGCCTTAGAGGTGCCCTAGCGCCGCCGCGGACCTGGCGTACCCTTAACTAACTATGTCCGGGATTCTCCGGATAAACTCTCGTGGAAACAAGACGCAAATTCAGGGATTCCCAGGATGTCAGTTCCGGGCGGGGCCTGAGGGACCAAATATACGCTCGTTTTATGACCGGGTATTTGCACATCAGAGGAAAAGGCCAGATAAAATACAGGACGCCCGGTTAAATTCCAATTTTAGGTAAACAACGAATAATTTTTTTCGTTTAAGTATGTCCATGCAATATTTAGGATATCTTATACGATAAGATAGGGGCATCCTGCCATTCCTAAGTGCTAGGCATCCACAGAGGTAGGCAGGGGCAGGCCCCCCAGTGCCTTTCTCCCTGAAGGGCCTGGGAGGGGTCAGGGTAGTGGTTTTCTCAGAATAACAGCCTCAACCTCACAGAGTGGTCATGACAGTCGAAGGAGATCATAGAAGTAAAGTCCAAGTACCATGCCTGGCCCTGGGCCGGACAGTGTTTTTACTCCCCCACCTCCAGCTCTGCCCAAGACCTCACTTCTGAAGTCCCACCCCCCAGGGCGAAGTACTGCTTCCTCTGAGATTCTCTAGTTGGTCTTCATGTTTCAGGCCTTCGAGACCAGTGGCCCCGGAGGGGACATTGTCTGCCTTCAGACTCAGCCAGCCCGAGCACCTGGCCCTTACATCTGAGGTCTCCAGAGGCTGGTGGTTCTTTTTTTTTTTGGCCACACTGCGTGGCATGTGGGATCTTAGTTCCCCATGGGGCTGGGGATGAACCTTTTGTAGGGAATGCCCCTCCCTTCTTTCAAGATGTACATATTATATGCTAGGCATGGTGGGGGACACAAAGTTAAGTCAGCCACTGGTGCTGCCAGGAAGCTCACAGACTAGCAACAGCTCCTGTTTACTAAGTGCTTTCTATGCATTAGGCATCATGCTCAGCATGTGACACAAATGGTCTCATTTAAGAAGAGAGGGGCACTACTGTTCCCATTTTATGGATGAGGAAGATGAGGCTTGGAGAGGTTAAATGACATTTCTAAGGTCACACAGCTACTAAGTAGCTAGCTTATGAGCCCAGCATGCTGTCACCAGATCCCCCATTCTACCACATTACACTGCCTTCTTCACATAGCAACGAAGTACCAGGGAAGGTGGTGTGGGATGGGGACAGCGCCAGGGACAGAGAATGGAGGAGTTTCCCCTCTGCCAGGCTGGAGATGAAAGCTGGCTTGGCTTCAACTCTGGGGCCTTGAACCCCATAGGTCAGTGGTTTACAACCCAGGGTGATTTTGGCTCCCTCCCCTGTCCCCTCCCCAGAGGACCTCTGGCAATGTCTGGAGGCAGTTTTGGTTGTCCTAACAGTATCTATCCATACTCTAGTGGATAGAGACGAGGGACACAGCTAAGCGTCCTACAATGCACAGGACAACTCCCACAACAGAGAACTGTCCAGCCCAGAATATCAAGTGCTGGCATTGAGAAATGCCCAGACAAGAGACTGGGAAGAGCACTGGTCAAGGTGAACAAGGTCTAGACTCTGTCTTAGCTGCTGACTAACTCTTTTCATCCCTTCTCTGAGCCTCAGGGTCCCAACAGGCACATACAGGGCACAGCAAAGGTGGACAGCTGGGGTGGGGCAAGTCTGTGTAGACTGGGGTGGAGGTAGGGGAAGGTCCTGCTGGATAATCCCAGGCTGTGACTTTAGACTGGGCAATGGGTGAGGGGAACGTCTTCCCCTACTTTTTGTTCCATGGGGTTTGCTGGGAAGGTCAGCTTTCTTTCTTCAGAATCCTCTCCGTTTGAGCTCTAGACAGGGAGAGCCTAGAATCGCTGACTTTCTTGGGTGGGCCTATCACACCCTGGCTGGGCACTCACACCGTAAGCCCAATGCTGGATCCAGGGGCAGCCCTGGCTGAGCCTCTCCCGGGCCTGGCTCACCTGGGTGTGAGGTGCTGGGCCGCTGAGGCTCATGCCCAGATCTTTCTTCTGCAGGAGGATCCTGAGCAGATCATGACTCAGCTGCAGTCTCTGGTCCCTCAGGGAGATGTGGGGAGCTGTCCCCAATAGGGATGGGCTGGGGGGCTCCAGACTCTTCTTGCCCATGAAGTGACCTAAAAAGGAGGTACTGAGGCACAAGGAAGTCAGGGAGCAAGGATCCTATCCCAGTGGGAAAGCTCCCCGTCTCTCCCACTTTTCAGTTCTCATGGCAGGAAGATACACAACCTTCCTCCTCCTCGTCACCAGGAGCTATAAAGACCGCGGGTGGTGGCAAAGCCTGTACCTCAGCTTTTCCTGAGCAGGTAGATGGGGTGGAGGGGATGGCACAGCTGGAAGGAGGGTGGGATGCCCCAGGGCCAGGAAGAAACTCTGCCAGTTGTGCTGTCTGCTTAGAAGAGGGACGGGAACGGCAGAGAAGGAAGTGGAGAAGAAGAGGTGTCTGGAAGGTGGAGGTGCAGAGAGAAGACACACCAGAGGTTAGAAGATTCAGTAGAGTCTTGTCTAAGAGAAGGGGCACGGGCTGGCAGGTAGATTTAGGATCCAGCCCCAGCTCTGCTTTAAACTGTATGGGTGAGTGATTTAACCGTCATTGGGTCTGGGTCTCAAGTTCCCCATCTGTTAGATGAGTTCCAAGGTCCCCTCTAGCCTGGACACTAGTGTCCATGGCTGAGGAGAGGCCAGAGAAGGAAAATGGGGTCAGAGCAGGGTGGGGGGCGCTTGCCCGTACCGCGAAGACTTACCGGTGGCCCAGAGATTGCCCCGCGGGTGCACTCGGATCTTGCTGGCCCGGCTGCGGGGCTCCGGGAGATCCCAGCTAAACGGGGCGACGCCGGCAGCGAGCAGAGCGAAGAGCAGAAGGCCCCCGAGCAGCCGAGCGCCCCGCGCCCGCAGGGTCATGGCTGGGTGCCGGCCACGCCTCAGTTCAGGTGCACTTAGCCACGGCTCAGGTCCCTGACGCGCGCCTTCCCTCCTTTTAAACCCGCGCCCCTGGGGGCGGAGCCTGCCCCGAAGAGACCGCCCCGGCGCGCTCGCTGCCGCTCCCGCCCCGCCCTCCTCCGACCCTCCTGTCCTCGCCAGCCCTTGGGCGGGGGTCTCGGTCAGGGGCCCCCTCCACAGCCCGCACGGCCGCACTCCTAACCCCACGTGGGCACCGCTTCCTCAGGGCGTTCGGGCCCAAGCCCACCACCTTCAAGCTGGGGACCTGGGCAAAGCCGGCTCCCCTGGCCCTCCCTCACCGCTCCCAAGGGCTTTCGGCCAACGAGCGGTTCCTTCACCTCTGTGCCTCTTTCTAAGGGTAGAAAAGGGGGCGAGGACGCCTCCTGTGTAACACAGGCGTTACAGTGCCCAGCATAGTGCCAGGCACCAGAGGAGCTCCATAAAATGCCAGTTGGCCCTTCCCTCCTGGGGAATCTGACCGGGTTCACCCAGCTCTCTGCCTTCTCACAGCCGGCACTCACCAGGTGCTGTGGAAATCACAGCAGGTGCTCAGGGTAGGAGTGCAGAACGATGGATGGCCGAGCCCTCCCCTCCCCCACCCTCCCCCCACAGATGGGCGCCCAGCTTGGGAGAGACTGGCTTATCAGTTGGCCAGGAGGCAGATCTTTGGGTCAGGGGAGTGAAAAGAGCACTGGACCAAGAGTCCGTATACAAGCTGTGTGACCTCACTGACCCTCACCTTCTTCGATTGTAAAATGGCAATAACCACATTGCCCTATTTTTAATAGTTTTACATTTTTTAGCCCCATTATTTTGTGGCAGGAAGCAACAGTCCTATAGGACTCCCTCTCAAAGTCAGCACTCTCCTCCTTCAAAGGAGCTGGCCAGACTTGTCTTGGAAATTCTGGGTCAGTGGCAGCACTTAATGAATAGAAGACACTGTGCTCCAGAATAATACATTTATTTTTGCTTAAATGTTTACTAAACACCAATGTTCAGAGCACTATGCCAGGCACAGGAGGGCAGGGACACAAAAGATAGTGCCCTGCTCCCACAGGAGTTTACCATCTCATTAGAGAGACAGAGTACAAAAGGAGTGAATGATGGAGGAGCAGGGTACTGACCAACCCCTGGGCCCTGGACTCTTCTCAGAAACACTGCACAGTGTGGCTGTGACCGAACCTACTCCCCAGTCTGGCTCAAAAACGGTACTTGCTATTATTACTCTTGCCATATCTAGCTCAGCAAGGCCTGCTAGCTCTGTGGATCACCATCTTAAAAGGGGAAGCATGTATGAGAAGCTGGTTGTCATGCTGAGCTCCCAGAAAGCACGACACACAGGACAAGGACATTCCATTTCCGGCTTTTTTCCCAATCTCCTTCTCATCTCCCACCCTGGCATTTACACCTCTCTGTACTCTTGTCACTGCTTAGCCATGGTGTACAGATATAGCTCTTATCACCTTCCCATAATAATCATTCCCTTTTCAACCCCCTCCCTCTCCTCTGCATCAATCACAGCACCCATCCTATCTTCTCTGGTCCTCGGTCATAGAAATTAGGAGGTGGTACTGAGTGCTGCCTCACTTAAATGCTTGAAGGAATCTTATTTGGTAGGTTTATCTCTCCTCATTTTATAGCTGGAAGCTGGCTCAGAGGTTGAGTCACTTGCCCAGACGTCACACTGGAATCAGACTTCGGGTCCGTTCAGATCACTCTGTCAGGCCCCCAGAGTCAGCAGGGACAGATGCTGCTTTCCCTAAACCACACCCACTCCCGTTTTACTTTCCCATTTAAATATCAAGTTGGTTTAGATTTCTCAAGGGTGAGAGGGAGCAGGCACTGAGAGTTTCATCTCTCTTCTGCAGGTGACCCTGGGACCTTGGTTCTGCTCTGACAGGTTCATTTATACTTAAGCAAGCCTCCCCTGACATAGCCTGCACTCGCAGCTCCAACCACAGCTGTGAAAATGACCCCAGATGCCACTAGGATCATTTTATCTGTCAGCTTAGCACAGGAAAAAAGGGGCCTCCGAGGACCCTGGGGAAAGAAGCAGGGCAGCAGCTCCACAGCCAACTATCAAACACTGTCCCAGGAATGTGAAGCATCAGGCACTGCAGAGAGGCGGGCTTGCCCAAGACAGCACTTCCAAGTCAGATCCCTCATGGAGTGCTAGGCTGAGTTTAGAATGAGGATCTCAACTGCAGACTGCCTGTTCCCCAAGTCCTCTCTCCCACCGGGAAGAATGACAGTGAATCACATGCACGTGCATGGAGAAGCTCTTCAGAGCTCACTCTTTTTAATAAATTTATTTATTTATTTATTGGCTGCGTTAGGTCTTCATTGCTGTGCACTGGCTTTCTCTAATTGCGGTGGGCGGGGGCTACTCTTCGTTGCGGTGCACGGGCTTCTCATTGCCGTGGCTTCTCTTTGTTGCGAAGCACAGGCTCTAGGCACGCAGGCTCAGTAGCTGTAGCTCGCGGGCTGAGTTGCTCTGCGGTATGTGGGATCTTCCCGGACCAGGGCTCGAACCCGTGTCCCCTGCATTGGCAGGCAGATTCTCAACCACTGCGCCACCAGGGAAGTCCCCAGAGCTCACTCTTGACCCTCTGAGGTTTCTACAACATTCAAGGACATTCACAGACGATGTAGAGAAGATTCAAAGGACAACCCAAAAGATGATTAAGGGGTGAAAGATACACGGCAAATCTTCTTATAACCAACACCAACAAAACATTTAAACTGCACCATGTTTTTAATTAAAAATTGCTTGAAATAAAGGACATATATATTATTGCTATATTTCATTAAATTGGAGTCAATTAAAAATGTCTTTTCACAGCTGAATCTTTTTTGTTATTGTTTTCCAAAAGCACTTACATGCATGCTCCTTTGATCACCAACACTATTTTGATGTAGTAAAGACTAGTATTATGCCCATTTAATGGATGAGTTAACTCAAGTAAAAGCAAGTTAGCTGCAGACAAACTAAACAAATGGAGAAAACCAGAGTGTAGACATCAAACACATGAAAGGTACAGAGGACAAAAGAGAAAACAAAAAGCAGAAATTTAAATTAGACATAAATGAGCCTAGAGAAAAAGGATGACAAACCTATTAGAGCTGCTCAGAATAGGATGGTATAAAATCACTCTTCTGGCAAACCTCTGAGCACAGATCCCATCTGTATGGGTTGCAGAGAGAAAGAGAAATATCGTGGGGTATCTCAGGTCCTGCTCTTTAGTTTCAGAAAGGGGAAGGGGCTGTAGAATCAGGAGAAGAGTGTAATCTTTAAGAGAGGAAGAAAAGAATCAGGGATATTTGATGCAATTTCGCAAAGTCAGAGGGAACACATAGGAACTAGCTAGAATATCAGAACGTTAACCATTGATAAGGAACTATTTCAGAAACTTAAATTGCCAAAATACAAAAAAAACTTTTAAGGCAATATTCAAAGGAAAAGAGAAGATACATCTAATGAGAAAGTGGTGGCGATGCCAACAGTGGCTAAGCTAAGCAGCTGCTGCTCAGCTAAATGGCGTAGACGCTCAGGGAAGTTATGAAAGCCTAACGAAGTGAGAAGCCCCAGGCCCAGCACTCATAGGATTATTTGGGTTTAACAGTCAGGTACTTCAGGGAGGCATTTCAGTAACTGAAAGGAATAATCTTTAAACTCTAAAGACGTTTAAATGCTTGGAAACCTGCCTGAGAATCTCCCTATTTCTAGGAGATTTACTAATCTGAGCAAATCGATGAAAGAACAACCTAGGGCTTCTAAAGAAGAATACCCAAGGGCCTTGCAATTGTGGGGTTTATTCCAAATAAAAGAGTCTCATTAGATTTTATAAAGGTAGAAGAACTGGGTATGACACCCAGCATTGTGAGGTGATAAAAGCAAGACTTCTGGCTCTGCCATCCATGGACCAGAAGATCCTGGGCAAATCTTTTAACTTCTAGTTTCTCTCTTTTGTAAAATGGAGTTATTCTGAGGACTAAAGGAGAAAAAATAAAAATCTGTTATAAATTCAAAAGCATTTAGCAGAGCACTGGAAACTTCTAAGTACTCAGTATTATTAGCTGAATCTTAGGAAAAGCAAAGCCTGCTTTAAATCTGAAGCCCATTACAGGGAAAAAAGATTCCCTGGATAGCAGCTAAGACCATGGTGTTGACACAACAGTCAACAAAATGCCTTGGCAAAATGCCTATTACATTGTGACTCATTTGATAAACTAAAATGCTGGCATATCCACCTCAACTATTGACCAACTCCAAGAAACGTGTTCTATACAGCATTCTCTCTTTTCTTGCTTAAATAAGTTGTCAGGCTGACAACTCTGATCAAAGCTTCATGCTAGCTGATTTACTTCCTTGCCTGATCTAAGTCCTGAGTACAAATTATTTTAACTAGACTCCTTGAATTAAAGCTGGGATCCAGCTTAGCAATCTAAATAAACCGGCCAATTAAAGTAAGGGTTCTACAGAAATGATTCTTGATGGAGAGTAGGTGGCATTCCAGAAACTCCTAAGATTAGCAGAACAAGGATCTATAATTTGAAAGTCATATTGAATATAACTGTATATGAGAGATGAGTAACTAACGTTTTTATAAAGCAAACTTAAGAAAAAGCAAGATAAAATATTCTTGGCTGCTAAGGATAAGAGGTTGGATATAACAGACCTGAGAGGAGGTTTACCAGAATGGAGAAGAGGTATGAAATTTTGTTTCTTATAAAAGACCATGAGTTTTTAAAGATTAAGGAACACTGTTCTACAGGAAAACTAACTGAAGGTTCCTGGCTGATTAGATGGGTAGCTGATCTTTTGTGAGGTGGCTTTCTGCAGAAGTAGCCAAACTACACCTATACTAAAGGAACATTCTCTGA